ATGAAATTTTAAATGCCGAATGGTTCAACAATTAGATGAAGTCACATCTTAAGGATGAGAAAAACCCACAACGTTGACACACTCAATAATTATTGGTTGATATGGTCAAAACCTGTAAAGGATGAGACACTCAATAACTGCTGATCACATTCCATTACATGTATACATTATACGTCAGTTAGTAAGTACATTATTCTGTATGTATTATTATTCAAGTGCTTTACAGCATTTCATCACAACACAAACAATCACTGAATCACTGTTCTTTTACTCACATGTGCTGGCTTAAGGCTCCACTTAACTCCTAGTATCGTTCCAAGTAATTCCTAGTTATAGCTAGTGGGTGTACACTCAAAGGGGTTTGAATGGGTACTGCTCGTGCCAGTGCCAACTAGAGGTATTTGACCAACACCCCCACACATCTGGCGAGGTCACAGGTTTGGAGGATCAGCTGAGGTCCTATCTAGAGCCGAGACGATAGCGTCATTGTCTCCTCGCTCAGTATACAACAACACTTTCTTATTAGCCTTATCACCCTCCCATAATTGAATAACACTACCAACGAGGGCGGCGATAACACTCCCCCCCGTTGGGTACATGTCCAAATTTCAAAACATTAAACGTTTCCCTCGAGGAGACCGATCTTGTTAACAGGTTGGAGAAACTCACGGACAGCAGTGCACAGACGCACCTAACGGACAAAACCATCTTCACTAGCAATTGCTTCAACAACCTGACCAAGGGGCCATTTGCCCCGAGGAAGGGTTTCTCCAGTTATGAGAACAAGATCTTTGACTTTGAAGTTACAAACAGGTTGACGATGTCTTGCCGCTTGTGGTGAATCGGTAGGGATTCCTTGGCATCTTCCATGGCTCCTCCTTTCCCTCACTGGTTGATCCTCCCCCCGATGAGGCCATGCATCTGCTTCAAATTTGCTCTGTTGGGTCTTCTTGACAGGGCCATTTTGGTAGCGTCCTTCCTTGCAGCTGCAGGCTTGATTATACACTTCTTTGAAGACGAACTCTTCCAATGTAGCTTTACAGACTTTTCACCAGCGCACTCCTCCAATGATCGCTGGTTTCTGGGATTTCGGATAGTTCCTAGTTGGGTCGAGTCGTGCCTGTTGCTGACCATTGGTACGCTTTCCAGTTCATCTTGCTCTTCCGTCGTGGGGCCAGTGAACAGTGGTTGCCCATCATTTTCACATCTAGATCAATTTCTTGTGGCCACTCATTGTTTTCTACGTCCGACATTTCGTTTAGTTAGGTGCGGTTATTAGTCATTTGTGGTGGTTTGTGGGTACAGTTCAGCTGGTCATGTCAATGTTAAAAGAATACACTGATATGTCTGGTACTGGTTCTGTTAACAAGCAAGCAAGCATACACTGATGCAACTGAGGGCTGTTTTTGGCAATTGCAAAAGGTACACTGGTGAGTCTGGTACTAGTTCTGTCAATAGCAAACAAGCACATGCTGATGTGTGTGGGGACTGGTTTTGGCAATATCAAGCAAGCACAACTGATGGGTCTGGGACTGGTTCTGTCAATAGCAAGCAAGAACACACTGCTGTGTCTGGAGTTTGGTACAAACGCACACTTCTGCTGTGACTTGCGGATTGTTACAAGCACACACTTCTGCTGTGCCTTGGGGGCTGTTACAAGCACGCAATTCTGCTGGGCCTTGGGGGCTGTTACAAGCACACACTTCTGCTGTGCCTTGGCTGTTTTTACAAGCACACACTTCTACTGTGCCTTGGGGGCTGTTACAAGCACACACTTCTGCTGTGCCTTGGGGGCTGTTACAAGCACACACTTCTGCTGTGCCTTGGGGGCTGTTACAAGCGCACACTTCTGCTGTGCCTTGGGTGTTGTGTTCCGGACATTTCAGGCACACATGCTTTAGTCGAGTATATTACTGTAGTTGTTTTGTAAGTAATTCCATTACATAAACCTTCTACCTGTACACTGATGGTCTTAACTAGATCAAGTTCATATCACCCTTACAAACTGTGCAAAAACCAAAGATCACATGACCTCAACCGTTACCTTTTGGCTGCCTGGAGGATGAGGTGTGTAGTTGTAGCAGCGCTGCTCCATCAGATTGCTCTAGCAGATTAAATCCAACTCATTATTGATACAGGTCTTACTTACGGCATGGTTTCATACACCAGTGGTTTTGTCTTCTAGATAATCGAATGTATACAGCAGTATACAGCATTTAAAAACTCATGCACTGTTAAACAGATGTTAATCAAGAACTCCCCCAATAATACAAATGGCTGCATTTATAAAGTCCCTTGCAAGGCCAAACAGATAAAGATCTTGTAACCAGACTTAAACAAGATAAATACAGTGTTAGGACAGGCCAGGAATCCAATGCTCTGTTCGTTCATTTGAGGGATAATAAACATTGCATTGACTGGGATAATGCCTCCTCAATATTACCTTGTAATTCAATTGACAGTAGGAACATCATAGAATCTAGTCTCATTAAACATACCGAATCCGTTAACATGAATTTGAGTAACGGTATGTACAAATTGGACAATTTTGTAATTAAGAAGATTTGTAACCAGGTGAGGTTGGGTCAGTTTTCCCTCTGACCTGACTACCGACCGCTGCGGTGCTTTTGTAGAGATTAGTAGGGTCATTACCTATACTTGACCTCTGTGGACTTGTTCTAACCCTCCTCTGTATATATATTACTTGTTCTGCACTTCTATTTTAGTCTGTACTCACCCCTGAAGATGTGAACTACACGAAAGCACTTGGGAACTTCGTGTTTTCTTTTTCCCTGTGGTTATCAGCATATATATATATATATATATATATATATATATATATATATATATATATATATATCTATATATATACAATCAACACCTCAACCCGCCAGGATTCGAACCCACGGCCCACGAGCACATGACTGTGACCGGGGAACGCTAACCGCTGGACCACCAGGACATTAAAAGCAGTCCTAGACTCTGTTATATTTCACACAAAGCCTGTTCAACGAGCTTATGGGGCCGTGAGCCTCTAATGGGAACTACCCATATCACGTAGGTGGTCAGAGTAACGTTTTACCAAATCCGGCTTCGAAACACGAGGCTTTGTGTGAAATATAACAGAGTCTAGAACTGCTTTTAGTATCCTGGTGGTCCAGTGGTTAGCATTCCCCGATCATAGTCATGTGCTCGTGGGCCGTGGGTTCGAATCCTGGCGGGTTGTGGTGTTGATTGTTTGTAGAAGTCCGCGTGTTTATTGGGCTAATGAAATATATATGGATCCTCGTGCTTCAAAGCCGGATTTGGTAAAACGTTACTCTGACCACCTACGTGATACGGGTAGTCCCCATTAGAGGTTCACGGCCCCATAAGCTCGTTGAACAGGCTTTGTGTGAAATATAACAGAGTCTAGGACTGCTTTTAGTATCCTGGTGGTCCAGCGGTTAGCATTCCCCGGTCACAGTCATGTGCTCGTGGGCCGTGGGTTCAAATCCTGGCGGGTTTAGGTGTTGATTGTATGTAGAAGTCCGCGTATTTATTGGGCTAATGAAATATATATATATATATATATATATATATATATATATATATATATATATATA